ATGTCATCTTTAAATCTTAGTTATGTTCAGACGTGTTCAGTGACAGCTGTTATATAACAGAAAAGCAATAAAGTTTCGTCCTTTTTAGGATGAAATCTTTTGTTTTTTTTTAAGCCCCACCCCTGGCTTTTGCCAGGGGCCGCAATATAGGCAGGCCATAGATATAGCCAATTGTCTGAACGCGGTTTCTGGGACCAGTCCACGGCGATCCTCATTCACATGGTGGCACTTTGTGTCATCGGGTGTTTATCGCTTTTGTGATGTCCTAGTGGAGTAGAAAGTCAGTCAGTCAGCAGTCAGACGTGTTCAGTGGCAGCTTTTACATAACAGAATAGTCTTTATCAGTTACCAACCATCATGTGTGATACAATGTTTTCGTTATTTTGAAGCCCCATCCTGGCTGTTGCCAGGGGCCGCAATATAGCCCGCCCATAAATATGGCCTAATGGCTAAACGCGGTTTCCGGGATCTCTCCACGAGTGATCCTCACCCACATGGTGGCACTTTGTGTCATCGGGTGTTTATCGCTTGAATGATGCCTAGTGGTGTAAAATATACAACTACTACTATAACAGAATAGTCTATTTAAGTCAGCATAATGTGGGATGCAATTTTTCGTTATTTGAAGCACCACCCTGGCTTCTGTCGGGGGTCCTGAAATAGCCAAGCTATAGATATGGCCTAGCGGCTGAAAGGGGTTTCTGGGACCTCTCCATTGGGTGATCCTCATCCGCATGGTGGCACTTTGTGTCATGGGTGTTTATCGCTTGTGTGATGTCTAAGTAGGGTACAACTACCTACCTACAACAGAATCACGAAATTTACCGGACACTTCATATCCTCCGGTGTCACCCATGTTGGCCATGTCACTTTTGTCTCGCCAGGTCTGTGTCCACTCATGTCCGACTGACTACTGGTCATTCGTTCAAACGGAAGTTATGGAAAATGCAGCCAGAGCCCAGCTAACAGCAGAGAGGGACAAGATGATCTGCAAGTACAACGTGGACCCTCAGTCCGCATCGGTGAGAGAGATTTTTGTCGTGTATTCAAAGTATTATGTTTGTTGATCCTCTTTACTGTTTTGTGCGCCTGTCTACAGGGTGTAGTAATATTGACTGTATTTGTTTTTCAAAGTAGTTTCGTATCTATTGTTGTAATCACTGGCTGTGGAGTTAATGCAAGATATCACTCACTATACAGCTTTATCCATCGTGGATTCTACTGGTTGAACTTCTAACAGTATAAAGATAAGGCACTTAATTATCAACAAATGATATCATAAATTGTTGAGCAACCATATTCGAATACCCGCCACCGTTAAGGAACACATGCTCATCCAAAAAAAACACATTCTTCAATAGTTAACACTATTACAGATAAGATCAATCACTAAAACACCGGTATACAGCAGTGATATTCTAAACTGACTGTTACATGGCAAATTTGATTGTGGTGCCCAGATAACTGATTTCAAAAATGTCTGCAGTCTTTAAACGTAAGCACTATATATTCTGTATGTCTTTGGAGAAAAAAAAAATAAAGGCAAAGTAATTACAAGACAGTAAAGTAGATAGATAAGTTTGTGAGGCATATGAAATTAATGTAAAATAAATAAAAGGTCAAGAAACATGTTTAAAATATTTAAGTAAATTACAAATATTTACAGTAATGTAAATCCAAGCACAGTAATTATTGCGATGTAAGTGAAGTAAGAAAATTACACTGTGTAAAGTAAACAATTGAATGTAAAGAGGAATAAAAAGGTAAAGTAATTTAACAAAACTTACCTGAATATGATAAAAGCTTGTTTTCTTAGGTGCCTGGCATGTTGCTAATTTAATATCTGTAATATCTCGGTACACCAGTGTCATTTTTACGGAGATCACTGGAGATTGTGGCTAGAACTAGGGATTTGTGCCAGGAGCTAGTAGTTCTGTGGAATGTGACCAAGCCACATACGATTAAACGCCTACAATGGAATCGACCCTTTAAAGATTAAGAGCATTTCGGTATGTGCAAACATATTTGGGGAACTTAGAACAAATTTTAAATTAATGAATTTGAATTAGGAGTTGAAACTTAGGAAATGTATTATTTTTTTAAACATTTTCATAAGTAATAATAATGATAAGGATGATGATAATGATATAGATAATAATGAAGTCGATGATGGTGATGATGTTTAACTTGACTGTGATGAGGATTTTTATTATTTCAGAAATCAGTCTACCAGTATGTGAAAGACGAAGACTGTGCCGCCTACTATGTGAAAAGCACTCCAGGTGAGTGCATCAATTAGAACAAACTATCTATAAATTAGTATAAATTATATGGAGCATTCATTTGAGACCCGGTGGTGCATGTAAGGCGCGTAATTGTGGGCTGAAAAACATGACCATGTCCTAGCCATGTCATAAGTACTGTCCAATGAAAAATGATCACGTGCTTATAGTCCCGTCATCATGCTAATGATTTATGTCCTTCTTCTTTGCGTTTTGTTTCGTATGCTTAGATCAGACCATCAGGTGGGTTGCCTCTATAAACTCGCATGTCTGCAGCAGAAAATTCTGGTTGTTCATCTATTTCTTATGCACATTCGCAGTTGTACGGTCTGTGTTCATTTGTGTGAATTTTCTGCTTCACGAACACTGGCTGTAAACGCTAGCAGAAACTTCTGGTTGTTCATCTACTTCCTATGCATATTTGCAATTGTACAGTCTATGTTCATTTTTGTGAATTTTCTGCTTCGCAAACACTGGCTGTAAACTTCTGGTTGTTCATCAAATTCTGGACTTCAGTCTTGTGTATGTTTCACAGCATTATTTGTATGTGCTAAATTTGATAAAGTACAAATGTCACCCCCCCCCCACCCCTTGCCCCCGCCCGGCTCCTCTAATGCAACAGTACCCTCTCAGAATCAAAGAGTTAGCACTGATATTTCTTTACTTTTGCTGGAATAGCTTTCAGTCTATTTCTACACGTTATTGATGTTTATGTTCATGTTGCCTGTAGCAAAAGCATTTTTGTTTGTCCGTAAGAGCCTTTATTGTTATATTTAAATATCACACATGTTTACCTTAAAAATTACGTAAAGTTCTATAAGATATGCCGAAATTTAATGAAACTGTAGTTTAATTAGTGTGTACATCTCCTCGATAAAAACTGTCAACACAGAGGGACTCAATTCTTGCACAAGAACGGGAATCTCCGTTGACCCAGTTGTCCTATAAATAGAGAAGGCCGTGGCTCCTCATAGCTTGCTCTGCAAACTTTGCTCTTGAGACCAGGTGTCTTTTCGAAGTTGTGGGTAGAGTGGGCATACCTGCAGAATGTTCTCATGTGTTTCTGGTTCTGGTAACTCTTATTAATGATTGATTCCTGGCACCTTTCCGTCTCTCCAGACGTTAGTTTTACACTGCGTTATGAAGAGGCATAGACTCACAGCCCATGGCGATGGCGAGTGTGACTAGCAAGACCCGCCCGCGTTAAAACTTTCTTGATATTACAAAGAGAACTGACTGACTGCGTCAGAAAATGATAATCTGGTGCTTTATTGATATCCTACCCCAAATGACGTTACAGGACAGTCTAATATTTAAAGGCTGGTAAGAATGAGTTTCCCGGCTTTCTAGGTCACACGACTGCATGCAGCCTAGGTCCCACGACTGCATGCAGCCTATCTAACACCACCTGAAATATTAGACTGTCCCGTGACCTTTTATTTACCCTGTTTGGGGTAGAATATTAATAAAGCACCGATAATCTACACTTCTGCTTAGATTTTGATTTAACCCTATAAGCGTACTGCTATGGGCATTAGCCTTGTGCGATTGTTTCGACATTATAAATGGAATCAAATCCGGCACCTTTGGCCTCTCTCATCGGCGTTTACCTCAGGGTTTCTCTTAAACGTCTGTGTTTCCTCAGTCCATTTGTTTCTCATTAGGAATCTGCTTGAACATTCTCTTTTTAAAATTTTAATCAGGATGTATCCAACATATCAACATCTTCTTTGTCTTATAACTATTTATACTGCGGGTATATAGACATTGCTCTACCCGGCTCTGTAGCGTAGTTGGCTAAACCGGATTACGCGGGTATCTAGATATTTCTCTTATTTTTTTTTTCATTTTAGACTTATCATGATCGTTAGTAGCATCATCATCATTGTCAACATCATTATCATAATTACCGTCACCGTATTATGGCCTTGCATTCTTGGCTTGGCTTTTTTCTGTTGCGAGAAAAGTAATTGTTGAATAAAGCCTGGCCCCGTCCGGAACCAAACCCACGACCTTCCGATCCACAGGCGAGCGTCTAGCCGCTAGACCACGCCACACGCAGAATATGCACCACCGAAATTTCGCTTAAAAGTGCTTTGTACGAAGCAAACTTACCAGAGATCTCTTCCTGTCCTGACACGGCGAGGCAGTGCAGGAGCTGAGAGAAAGATGAAGAAAATCAATCGGTATGTCCACTCCGGGCTGCTACCTGAAGGCTTGCAACGCTGAAATAATACCACAATAATCTCAGTCTAGAGGACAGACCAAACAGACACAATCTCAAATACCCTGTTTAGCTTCCAAATAAGTAATAGTTAGGGCAACCTAAGACGACGATCCGAGCCACTGTAATCTGCAGTCCAGCGGGTAAAGACGCTGGATCCCCCCCCCCCCCTGTTTTTCCAGAATTACAGTTTAAAGAATGAACATCTCAAAGACGAGAATCAGGTAAAGATCCCGGAAAGCTCGTTCAACTGTATGGCTATATCAAAAAGTAAGTGGGTAAAGATCCCTTGTCACGACTTCAGGCGCATCGGGCATATGGAAAGAGCACCCATATTTTTACAGACCAATCAGCACACATGTGGGTAATGTTATCAGCATTACGCCGGCCGTCTTTACTTCCCCAGGATCTAAAGGAGGTTTGGATCGCGGTGCGTTGGAATTACCTGTCGGACTCGCAACGTCTAAGCCACGGACGCCGCTTAATGGCCAAACATCACATTTATATTGAGGCATCACAACACGGTTTTGAAGTAACTCGTAGACCAGCGTGGGTGGATCTGATCTGTATCAGCTTGTGGTAAGATTATATATCAGATAAGGTTCACAGTCTAATTCTCCATGTAGTTTTATCCTGTGCATTTGTAGACATATGCTCATACATAGTTCATATTGACATTTTCTCGGGGAGGAGGGGGAATGTCTGAGCCTGCAGATTTAGGGCTACATAGCTAGTGTTGTCGCCATGAAGTGTGCAGGTGAGGATTTTTGTTTTTGCTACTGAAAGAAAAAAAAAAAGCTCAAATATTGCCGAAGATTCGAACCTAATTCTCTAGCTTGAGGAACCCAGTGTTTTAACCGCTTGAGCAGCCGCTCCTCTTCTTTAACATAATAACCACTTAATTATACCCTTTTTTCCTTTGTTTGCTGCAGTTGTCAACCGCTGTATCCCCTCCATATTTCTGGACATCACCAGCTGGTCAGCCAATATTGTTTACGAGTACAAGGGGAGTAACTACACAGTGACTGACGCACGATCCCGGCGGTGACTGGACAAGACATCAGTGATGGAAGCTAGTAAGCATCGTCCACTCTATTGCTTGTGTGCATAGGTATCGAAACTTAGGAACTCCCACCCCCACCCCCCTTCCCCAGTCATTGGTTTATAATGTACGGTTATACAAGGCGTGGTCTGTAGAAGATGCGGAGATCGACCAGCAGAAATGTGGATACATGACATTAAAACAACTTTGACGTGACAATAACTGAGGTAGCTATTGTTTCTCGTCCTTTTTAGGATGAATTTTTTCATTATTTGAAGCCCTACTCTGGCTTTTGCCAGGGGATGCAATATAGTCTGGCCATAAATATGGTCTAATGGCTGAACTTGGTTTCTGGGACCTCGCCACGGGTGATCCATTTCCACATGGTGGCCCGTTGTGTTATCGGGTGTTTATCGCTTGTGCGATGTCCTGGTAGGGTAAAAACAAAATGATAGAAAAGAACTGAGGCAGCAGTATATAAATTATTCAATCGTTTCCATGTGGGATGTAATTTTTCGTTATTTGAAGCCACACCCTGGTTTCGCCGGGGGCCCTGAATATAGCCGGGCCATAAATATGGCCATAACGGCTGAAAGCTGTTTTTGGGACCTCTCCACGGGCGATCCTCATCCGCATGGTGGCACTTCGTGTCACCGGGCGTTTATCGCTTGTGTGATGTCCTGGTGGGGGTTGATTCTCATTCATTCAACTGAGGCAGGAGGACTAGCAAAACACACGGATAGCTCCAGCAGTAAAACCGAACAGGTTTACGGAAATTCCCGTTTTTTTAGACCGGTCAACGGCCGGTCTGTGGTCACCATTGTTACCAAGTAAATTTAGACACAAATTAAACTACAGTTTAATTAACTTGCAATATATTTTACTGAATATTTTATTATTATTCTATTTTCTAATGGCTCACTTATTTATCTTCATAATGATAATTCAATCAATGAAATGCGTTGCAAGTTAATTAAACTGTACTCTAAGTACCGTTCGACGTATAAAATCAGTAATGTTAGTACCTCCGACGTTGAGGTAACATGTAGTCGAGTAATGCTGGCTGGAAATAAGTAAAGGAAAGTAAAGAACCTTTTTTTACGCCCATATAGGGCATATAGGGCTAGACCTATATTTTACAGACTTATTGGCACTTAGTGGGTGATGTGGCCATCATCACGCTGCCTTACTTTCCTTGACGGTACCTGGTACCCACTTAAGGCTGGGTCGACCTGAGAGCTAAGGTCCTTAAACCCCCCCCCCCCCCCCCCAAAAAAAAAAAAACACTGCTCCGCCAGGACCCGAACCCACGGCCTTCCGATCCGCAGGAGGCTGGGAATAAGGCAAATGGATAACTTGTGAGCCGCTATATGATTCCAGCGCTACATCACATCAGCCACGCGAATCAAATTTTCTAATCTCTTACCAACTGCACTGTTGCATTAGATGGAAATTATAATTTTATGACACTGGATGTAAGAAACAAACTGATTTCAAAATTTGTTTTTGTTTTTGTGGTCATTTTTGTGTCTGATTGGTCACTAAATAATTCTCACCGTTTTAAGTGGTCCGCGAGTGTACAAAGTTTGAAGAACACTGCTCTGTACCATAATACTTCACTGTCTAACATCTATCCTTCCGTGTCTCTTTATCTTAAACCTTTTTTGTGTGTGGTAACGCTCTACTTCCCTTTCCCCCTTCTGATGACATGAGATTGTGTTTGATGAAAATATATTTCAGTTTTCTGGCGTTGTTTTACGATGTCAAAGAATTTGTGGAACTCGTGTACAAGGACATCTTGAACGTCTGGTGGTTGATTCTTGTGTAAGATTGTTGTTTGTTATGTATCGTTTGTTGGTCGATTTGTTGGCTAGTTATTTTATTAGTTGATTGGTGGCTGGTTGTTAGTTCGATTATCTGGTTGATTGGTTGTTTGGTTAGTTGATTAGTTGGTTGATGGCTGGTTATTTGCTTGATTATCTGGTTAATTGGTTATTTGGCTGGCTGGTTGATTGATTGGCCAGTTTGTTGGTTGATTGGCTGGTTGGTTTCCTGGGTGTTCGTTGATTGGCTGGTTGGTTTGCTGGGTGTTCGTTGATTGGCTGGTTGATTTGCTGGGTGTTCGTTGATTGGCTGGTTGATTTGCTGGGTGTTCGTTGATTGGCTGGTTGATTTGCTGGGTGTTCGTTGATTGGCTGGTTGATTTGCTGGGTGTTCGTTGATTGGCTGGTTGATTTGCTGGGTGTTCGTTAATTGGCTGGTTGGTTGACTGGTTAGCTGGCTGGCTCTCTGGTTGGATGGTTAGTTGTTTGGCTGATTGTTTGCTTGGTTTGCTGGATGTTGATTCACTGGCTGGTTTGTTGGCTGGTTAGCTGGTTGCCAAGTCGGTTGGCTGGGTAGGTGATTCTCGCTTGAGAGCATTTGCTTGAATAATTGATTGGTTGATTGATTGATAAATTGATTTGTTTCTTAGCTGACTGGTCAATTGGTTAAATGGTTGATTAATTGTCTGATTAAGTGGTTGCTTTATTAGTTTAAAAGACACAAGTATAGTAATTTTGTCGAAGTGTAGTCTACCAAATTGTCTATAATGTTACAGAAACTAAAATATACTGACTATCATGCATTATATTGCAGTAATTCTCTGTACATTTAGCGTAAAATGATGTATAGCAATAGCCTTATAATATTCATGGCAATGACTGAATATACAGTTTTACAGAAGCTAATTTATAACAACTGTCTGAAAATATTGCGCCCTAATTCTCTATTTAGTATGCAGACTAACATATAATCATTGTCTTAAGGTATAGTGCTTCAGTTCCCTATACAGTTGACAGTGATACATGTTTACTATATGTATACAAATATAGTTTATTAGGTCTCCATATTTTGTAGGCATAAGGAAGAATAGTAACTGTTATGTGTGACCCAGTTATGTGTGTTATTTACAGAGATTAGGGAATAGAAATTTGCCGGAAGCATAATTCAACAGTTCTGTGTTTGATTTACACAGATTAGCGTATGGTAATTGTCAAGAAGTATAATGCTGCAGTTCTACATGTAATTTAAGACACTGGCGTAAAGTAATTGTCTAAAAGTATAATGCAGTAGTTTTGTATGTGATTTACAGCTATTAGTTTAGTAATTGCTTTGAAATACAAGTTCCTCATGTTAATTACAGGGTCAGAGTATAATAAATGTCTTGAAGTATAGTGAACAAATCCTCCATACTTTTACAGAGGTACTGTTGTTGCAGCAGGGCTGTGTATGCTCTGGTTAGTGCTGCTGAGGTGGGTTGCAGGGCCCGTGGTATGGTTGACGATTGCCCTCGTTTTTGGACTTCTCATTTTTGGTTTGTTTTTTTAATTAGAATATATTTACAGTCAGCTTAAGACAATCTGTACTCTGTTTCTATTTACAAATATTATCAAATATTGACCGAACGCAGGGTATAGATTGCAATTTATTCTTTCAGAACATCTTCTGACAAGAAATAAGCAGAGAAATCACTAAATTAGGAAATAAATGGATTGAGGATGCGAGGACGCACAATAAAAACCCTAAAACGAAAATTGATGAGAGAGGCCGAAGATACTGGGCTGGTTTCCATTCATGATGTTGAATTGATTGCCCAGGAAATAAACAAAAGGGAAAGACTACAAGCCGTATGTGACATATAATGGCACAGCAGGGCAGTGATGATGTATCTGTGGGACTCCATCATCAACAGATGAAACAACACGGCTGGCAACAATACAAATACGAATCAACAGTAACAACAATACCAACAACATCAACAGTTGAAAAACAAAAACAAAAACAACTTCAAAACGTACCATTATTTTGTGATGCCGGGTTGCCAGGTTCGACCCAAGCTGCGGACAATTTGTCTCGCGGTGGTTTTGACAGTGGTACCAAGAGCTGACCGTACAGGGCAATGGCAAACTATTGAACGTAAAGAGTTCATAAAAAAATCACACCCAAAAAAAAAAAAAAATGCTGGGGCTAGTTCTGCAGTGTCCTGTAAAAGACACGCAACTAACTGATAAAAAAAAAAAAAAAACTAACAACAACAACAACAACCCAACAACAAAAACAAAAACACAGACGATAATAGTGAATGCAGTCCTATAGCAACGGCACTGGAATGTAGGAGCTCCGTTACCTCAAGGGACACTCCCCTCATTTTTCAGCCTTCACGTGAAGTTGCTTCTAATGCTTCGGAATGTTTTTCCTTCCAAGTGATCTGGCATAATGTTCCTCATATAAAATGTGATCTAATGTAGTTTAATTTATACCAATATAATCGTGTTTTCTATTTTCCTAAATTCGTCTGGGTTTCTTTTGGTAAACAGTCGACATTACAACATTCAGAACAAGCCCGGCTCCGACTCAACAGCCAGCGAGGATTCTCTATACTAACATATCAGCCCCTTGTGGGATGTAATTTTTCATTATTTTGAAGCCCCACCCTGGCTGTTGCTGGGGCCCCTAATATAACCTAGTGGTTAAACGGGGTTCCTGAGACCTCTCAACCGATGATTCGCATAGTGGCAATTTGTGTCACCGGGTGTTTATCGCTTTGAGTGATGTCCTGGTGGGGTACAATTCACTTACTAGTTACTTCTCTAAACTGATGATGTTCCTTGTCACCTGGTTAGCTACTCGTCTACGCCCGCCTGCGGATCGGAAAGTTGTGGCTCGGGTCCTACTGAGCCGGACTTTTTTTTTTTCGAAAAGGGCCTTAGCTTCTAGGTCGACCCAGCCTTGAGTGGGTACTAGATGCTGCCTTGAGAAGTAAAGGCGGCTGGTGTGACCCCATCACCCACCAAGTGCCGATTGATCTATAAAATATAGGTCCAGCCCTATATGCCTGATATTCCTGAAGGAGGGGAAAGGGGTCCTTTACTTTTTTTTCCTTTCCTTTCTTTCCTTCCTCCCCCCTTGTTAAATTTAGTGTTGAGTGTTGAGCTAAGAACTGACATCACATCACTCAGGACAATCATATAAACGCTCCGTCCTTGTCTTCGGCAGACAGGGAAGATTTTTCAGTTTCGTTGGTGCGATCTTGTTGCTAGGAAATTGATATAATCTAATTGGATGGGTCACAAGTAATCTGACCTGATTCCAATTGATGCAATTTATTTGCCTTATGTCAAGTAATCTACTTTTCTAGTTTGCATTGATGTAACCAAAATCGTATGAGCATAAAATCATGCGAATTGTGCACTTCTGTTCTAACAGGCAGTTACTATAGTTACAGCGAGTACTACAAATTGAAAAAGATGAATGCGACTTCAGAATTCGGACTGTCTCCGGCCTTTGCCATGAACTTCCGCTACTACTTGTCTCTCAAGAAGACATGGCTGGCGTTTGGTAAGTTTGGCATTGCAACAAAACAGCTAGCATTATAACATAGCATAACATAACCCTTGACCCATTAGTTTCGTGGAGGTGTATTGATGTAAGCACTCGCATATAAAACCTGCTATCTTTCTCTGTCTTCGGCTTGATGAATAAGTGTTTGATAACTTAGTCCTGTTCATTTCTTGATGTTGTCATTCTAGGTTCTTTGCACCTCTCTTCTTCGACTATCCCCAAATGTTCCTTACAGGACAGTCTTTGCAATCGAATCATGTCTCACCACGTGCCCAAACCAAGCTAGCTTGCGACGTTTAACCACTGCCAAGAGAGACTCCTGATGTCCCGCAAATTTGTAAATTTGGTCTCCCACATATTTGTTAGTTATATTATCATTTTATAACTACGAATGAAAAAAACTATCTAGTGCTTGAATGAATGAATGAATGACTCAAGAATTGACATAACTGCATTCGGGACATTCCCCACACGTGCTCTGTCCCCTTATTCAGTAGCCACGGAAAGTTCACATGCTAATAGTACCAGTTGCAAGCTGATTAAAAGTCCACCTTTATTCCCCCTTCAATGTTGAATGTCTTCCAGAACCTCTACCCACAGCGCTTTGAATTAGTCTTTCAGTTTATGGATTCTTTGTTCGATTGCACTGCCCATATGATACCAGAGAGCCTTCACCACGTTCGCTTTATCATACAGAAGCTCACCACCCGGAGGGGCTGCAGCAGCCAATTTATCAGCCTACTCGTTAACTGGCGCACAGCTTAATATCCTGGACAGAAAATCCATGATGTGATATTTAGTTTGAAGAAACAATAAACAGAGACATCAATCATAACGTTAGTACATACTTAAATTAAAATGGGTGCCCCGTTAGCGCAGTCGATAGGACACTCGCTTTCAAATCCAGGTGCGACTCCCTGCAGCCCACGGCCGGCTCCCGGGGTTCACCCAGTCTCTCGATTGGTCTTTAAAAATATGGGTGCTCTTCCCATATTTCCGATGCGCCTGAAAAGGCGTGAAAAGAAATCTTTACTTTTACTTGTTTACCCAGCCTCTAGGTAATGGGTACCAGAGTTAACATTCTGGGGTAAATGGAGGAACGTCGCTGTAGCTACGGAGTTGCGTGCGGACGGCGACACAAGCGGACAGTCTTTTCATCAGCTGTCCGTACTGGTGGCAGAGCACTTATCGTTTATCACGGTGTGCAGTGAGGCTGGTTCACATCTCCCGACTGTGTCTTTACTCCATCGTTAGCAGCAACCGCAGTTCCTTTTCCGCTGGCAGCCGTAACAGTCCAATTGTATATTCGTCTCACCTTTCGACTACGTGTTGATCGTTGGTCATGTCCCTTGGCCACTCCGGGCAGCACCATTCTCCTGAGGCCCGTAATAATATATGTCCCTCTTCACAGTTCACACCCCCACTCCCCAACCCCCCGCCTAGATGACCCTCACAGTATCTAGCTTGTTATACTCATCAACAACTTCAGCGAAACCAGCCAGTCTGTCTGCCTGTTCTAAGTTTTAAAAATAGAACCCAAAAAAGTGAGTTAATGGAAATGTCGTTGTGCCTAACATGGATACCAGTAAGTACCATAGGACATGCTTGATGTAGGTCGAATACCCATCGCGGATTGGTCTAAAATATGATTCCAGCATCAGACGCCCTGGGGTGAAAAGGGTTCTTTTACTGTCATGACTTTCATGCTAGCGAACTTCTTGAGGGGACACACCTTCTGTACGTAGACTTTCATGCAAGACGAACTTCTTTCGAGGGACCTTCCATGGCTGTGAATGACTTTCATTTCTAGGGACCGACTTTGCTGTCTGACTTTCATGGCACTCTCTTTCGAGGGACCACACCTTCCATTGCTGTAATGACTTTCATGCTAGCCGACTCTTGGCACTTCTTCGAGGGACCACACCTTTCATTGCTGTAATGACTTCTTCTTCGAGGGGACCACACCTGAGACTTTCATGCTAGTCGACTCTTGGCACTTCTTCGAGGGGACGCGCTTCCTGTGCTGTCATGACTTTTTGAGGAACCACGCCTTTATGCTAATGACCCAACTCTTGGCACTTCTTCGAGGGACGACGCCTTCCATTGCTGTCATGACTTTCATGCTAGTCGACTCTTGGCACTTCTTCGAGGGACGACGCCTTCCATTGCTGTAATGACTTTCATGCTAGCCGACTCTTGGCACTTCTTCGAGGAACCACGCCTTCCTGTACTGTCATGACTTTCATGCTAGCCAACTCTTGGCACTTCTTCAAAGGACCACGCCTTCCATTACTGTCATTTTTGAAAAGCTGACTTTGTATATTTATGAGAAACATCATTCATCATCATCATTATCCTGTTGTCCCATTATATGCCACATAGGGCTCGCAGTATATTGCTTTATTTCGTATTATCAGTTCGATATCATTGATGGAATCCAGTCCAGCACCGTTGACCTTTCCCGTCATCGTTCGTTTTAGGGTTTCTTTAGGACGCCTTCGTTTTCTCAGTCTCTCTATTTCCAATTTTAGTGCCCGTGTGATGAGTCTCTAATCGTTTCTTCTCAGAATGTATTAGGTCAAGCGTCATCTTCTTTGTCTTTTAACTGCAGCCTAAACATTTGTATGATTTCTTCACTCTTCTTGAATTCATCCCATTTTATACTTACAATTTCAACTAAAACAAGATTTTGTATACATTTCTAGGCTGCCTGACTGCAACGATCATTGCCATCCTTCTTCTGCTGTTCTTGTTTCTGGTCAAGAGAATTTGTATTGCTATAGAATTGATCAAGGAAGCCAGCAGGTAAGTGCCGGTCCAACCCTCTCGTCTGTAAAAATTAACGGCTCTGCGGAAAGACAAGAGCCAACTGGAGGTAGAGCTGGAGTAGTGAAGTAGAAGCAAGAAGATAATTATATACTGAGCACATTTTGAAAAGAAACGAGCTAAGAATCATAAACCAGGCACTGAAATGTAAAACACATAAATAGAGGAAATTAACACCTATAGGAGGCACCCTAAAACTGACTTTGGCGAGAGAAGCCAAAAGTGAAGGTCTGCATTAATAATAATAATAGTAAAAGGCTTCTTTCAAAAGTCCGTTTCCCTGTAGACGGATCTCTACTTAAGTGCTCCAGGCTCCTACAAAAGATTAACTTCGCCCCAACATGGGACGTAATTTGTTATGTTAAAGCCCCATGCTGGCTGTTGTTAGGGGCCCTGAATATAACCCAGCGGTCGAACAAGGTTTCTAAGACTTGTGCCCGGGTGATTATCATTCGAATGGTGGCACTTCTTGTCACTGGGTGTTTATCGCTTGTTGTACGGTCCTGTATGGTTGAAAGTCAGTAAGTCCTCAGATTATACAAGAACATCGTCACCAGAAACTGTCCACGTTCTTATTGTGCGGGTGCGTGTATGCGGGTGTTTTGTTTATTAGTACCCGTACATGTGTGTGACTTGTGCATATTGGCGTGTATATGTGTTCGGGTGGAGGGTGGGATGATTGTTTTCAAGTACAATGTGTAGGAAATTGTTTCGGTAAATACATACAGTCATTATGTTTGCAATATTAATAAAATAGACATAACACCAACAGATGTCGATAAACAGGAGGACTTCAATGAGCTGCTCTTTGCCGACGATCAATGCATATTTCACAGTGATAGTAAACAGCTGCAAGACCACATGAACCTACTACACGACAGTTGCCTCAAGCATCATATGAAGATCAATACTGAAAAGACAGAAGTCATGAGCATAATTAGAGAGCAACAGACCATCGACATAAAGATTCTAGATCACAGCCTAAAACAAGTGCAAGAATTTAAATACTTGGGAAGTATCTTTACATCCAATGGTAAAATAGACAGAGAGATCGAAGCAAGAATCCAACAAGCCAACAATGTCGCATACCAGCTTGCCCCAATTTTAAAACACCCTGCTGTCCCAGCTGAGATAAAAAGACAAATTATAAATACAATCTTTATACCGACATTAGGTTATCAATGTCAGACTTGGACATTAACAAAAGAACATGAGAGAAGACTAACCACCTGTGAAATGAGATGTTTGAGAATGGCTGCGAATGAAACCAGAAGAGATCGAGTGAGAAACGATGTGATTACAAGAACTATTGGAACCATACCCATCGTTAAATTTATTGAGAAGCAAAGAATGAAATGGTTTGGTCACCTAATGAATGGAACCAACGATGCCAGCATCAAGAGCATACAACATGAAAATCGAAACAACAAGAGGCAGGGGAAGACCAAGAAGAAGATGGATTGAAGGAGTCACGGACAACTTGAGACTTCATAACATCACGGCATATGAAGCGACTGAGCGCGCCCTGGCTCGGTTGCCGATCATCTGATAGACTGCGACGCCTAGCGGCACAAGCAGATTTTGACAAAAGAAGAAGAATTATGTTTGCAGTTATTTCTGCAGATGTTGAAACAGCAGACGTGAAATGTTAACGGCTAATCCTACATGTATCAAGATGAGGCAGGATCAGAAATTACGATATCGAGAAACGAGCTGGGGAGAAAGCAGTACTCAACTACACCAAGAGAGACAATAGATCAAATGGGTCGGACATGTGTCAAATCTACCACTAGATAGATACTGTAGCAGTGAGAGCCTTATGATTTCGACGCAACAGATTTAGTTCTAGATGAAACCCATGCAAACGATGGATAGATAGAATATCTGGCGTTAATACCAGCATCTGTTTTGCACATACCAAATCTTGCACCAGATATCTATTTAGATGCATACGATAAAAAGCAGAACAGGGTCAAGAGAAAGAAGAATAAGAAGAAGCAGGTGTTGGATGGGTCGCTATTCCAGGTAAGAAAGTGCTTCCGGAAAATGGGTGTTTGGAAAATCTATGTGTGCAAAGTGGTGTACTGATTTTCGAAAGGAAACATTTGGCTGTTTCCGTACATTCTGTTAATTCCATTTGTTTCAGGGCAGTGGGAAGTATGTTCTCTACATTGTTTTGGCCTTTGATTCCATTTGTTTCAGGGCAGTGGGAAGTATGTTCTCTACATTGTTTTGGCCTTTGATTCCATTTGTTTCAGGGCAGTGGGAAGTATGTTCTCTACATTGTTTTGACCTTTGATTCCATTTGTTTCAGGGCAGTGGGAAGTATGTTCTCTACATTGTTTTGGCCTTTGATTCCATTTGTTTCAGGGCAGTGGGAAGTATGTTCTCTACATGTTTTTGACCTTTGATTCAATTTGTTTCAGGGCAGTGGGAAGTATGTTCTGTACATTGTTTTGACCTTTGATTCCATTTGTTTCAGGGCAGTGGGAAGCATGTTCTCTACATTGTTTTGACCTTTGATTCCATTTGTTACAGGGCAGTGGGAAGTATGTTCTCTACATTGTTTTGGCCTTTGATTCCATTTGTTTCAGGGCAGTGGGAAGTATGTTCTCTACATTGTTTTCACCTTTGATTCCATTTGTTTTAGGGCAGTGGGAAGTATGTTCTCTACATTGTTTTGGCCTTTGATTCCATTCCTTGCTCAAATCGCATTTTGTGTGTACTGGGCGGCCAGTGTCATGTATCCTTTGAGACTCAGAAGTTATTTGAACACTTACACATGCACACATTCACTCAAGTGCATTAACTCATACAGACAATCATTCATACACAGTTCATAGATACGATTATAAATATAAAACATTCTCTTTCTGTCTCTGTCTTTCTCCCCTCTCCCTCTGTCTCTTAATACTCTCTCTCTCTCTCTCTCTCTCTCTCTCTCTCTCTCTCTCTCTCTCTCTCTCTCTCTCTCTCTCTCTCTCTCCTATCTATCTATCTATCTCTCTCTTTCTTTCTTTCTCATGATTTACATAAATGCTCCTTAAATAATTTGAAGATTTATAGCATCCATGGGAGATTCCCAGTATTACGGCCACGCCAGAAACTCTAGCCCAGACAGGATCAACTATCTTCTTTCCCGAGTGCCTTGTAACCCTAATGTAAGCAATATACTGTCCTATGTGTTTGTATGTGGAAGTTCCCCTGTCTTCTCGTAACAGCTTTAGGGTAAATAATAAATAAACAAGCCAGCCAAAAAATTTCTTTGGGACACAGATATGTCGTCTTCTATTATGAGTTTATTGTTTATGTTTATTTAATGGATCAAGGCCATTGCACACCGGTGTAACCCATACGGGCTCCGTTCTACTTCTATCTCAAGCCGGAGTCAGAAGAATCTTAGAGCAGTGCACGAACTACGGTGCACTGGCGGGGATCCTAAAAAGCTTTGCGTAGATCTTATATTTTAAATCACCAGCGAAACCTGTGAGTTTTGCTGCATTGGTCAGACCCCAACAAACCTATCTGATGATGTTACTGGTTCTGTTTGCACCTATGCAGTATTTTTGACAAGATAAGACCAAGAAAAAAAAAAAAAAAATAAAAAAAAAAAAAAAAAAAAAGGGGGGGGGGGGGGGGTGGGGGGGGGGGGGGGTGGGGGGGGGGTGTGAAACTGTAAAAAACCTTTTTTTTGCTAAACTTCATGACAGCATAATTTATCGTTAGCTGTTGCGCAGACGTCAGATGTGTCGTTTAACGGACAACTACTTATACTTCCTTCGGCAGCCATCTAGAGTAATCAAGATATTTTGAAAATTGTAGGGTTAAAAATAAAAAACAAGTTATCATAAATATTGAAAAGAGGCGGTTATCATTGTGTGTATGTCACTATTTTACGAGAACAAAGAAAATGGAACATGTTATGACTAATGGAAAGATTTATGGAAAGAGAGATAGAGGAAGATAATGCGAGAAGATTCTTGACAGTCCTTTGCCATGGCATGGAAGGGCGTCGCACACAGCACACATAATGCTATTTGTTGTTGAAGACTAAAAGTTCGAAAGAAGCATGATTTCCCATGCCAGACTGCAAGGCACTTGGCGATGATAGTTTGAAGTAGACTGTTTGAGGAGAATGGCGCTGCGGGGGAGTTAACAGGCAATCTGGCGGATGTTCGACATTAAAGGGAAAGTAGAGACGAATGTACACTCAGACAGTTAGTTACTGGTGCCTTTGGAATTGGAACTTTCCGCTTGCTGCTGCAGAGGTGGGACATAGCGCTTAAGAGAGTGTCCCGAGTGCTATGATGTCGATTCTTAACTCAACATCCAACATTCAACATTTAGTTTGAAACGGATAACTGTTAACAGTTACCAGATCAGTAAACAGTGTCTGATTTTTAGTCTGCATTGACCTAAAGTTACACATACTTGATAATGAGCGCTTTGCAAGCATTAAAACATTTTTGATAGGGAGACTTACATGGATACATTGTTTGGGGTATGTGAGAGTACCACTCAACGAGTGGGCAGATTTATTGGCTGCAAAAAATACCAATCGTAATAACAATCCTTCCCTTCTTTTGTTGGAACATTCTTATCGGATTGTATAATCTGAAGGAACGGCTGGTCTGGGGGTTACAACGTGGGGCTCCCATGGTCAGACCCGTTCGACCCCCTCCCCCCCCACCCTCCATCCCCCTTTTTCCAGTAAGATGATGAGTTTTTATGTCGGCAGAGAAAAACATCATAACCTGCGTAGAGAGCCGCGGTGGTTTAGTGTCTTGGCGTTTGTCTGCGGATCTAAAGGTTGTGGGATCAAATCCGCTTGGAGCGGATGACCTTGCCTGCCAGGTCCACGCCTGCATTGAATGGGTACTAGGTAAAGTCCTGAAAAAATAAAGGTGATCGTCGTGACGTTGACCACGTCAGCCATCCAGGTCTACAAGAAATAGGAGTCTAACCTCATATGCCCCAGCCTGTAAAGGGACCTTCACTTTTCAACCTGCACAGTCGGTGGCGACAGCACCAGCCATGCAACGCGATCCCTTTAAATGCACAGATTATGCCTCTCACACTATGACAGAGGCTCTCAAACTTCCTAATGCCGCGACTCTTTAATAAAGTTCCCTCTTGTTGTGGCGACCCCCGAACAATTATTTCCCTTCATAACTTCAATGAATGTGTGTTTTACGATGGTCTTAGGCGACAAACCCCCAAAAATAAATTATTCCGACAGGTTGAAACCGGCTGCTCTATAACATGGGCGTATATTACCACCCACCGTATCCGCCATTTCACATGATTTTAATATATAGTTTTTTTGTTTTTGTTTAGTCGTGTTTTAATTCTTGTTTTTCTATATGTATGCCTGTCTTTCTGCCCGTCTGTTTGTCCATTTATATTCCTACTTGCCGCCTACATTTTAATTTATCAATTTTCACATACGTTTGTCTGCACACAAAAATCCGACCATATATGTATATATTGTATATATTATTTGTATATATTTATTGTTAATATACATTTTTTTTTCTATACAGAGTTCAACTATAGGGTCTTTCTGTGATTTTGTCAAGTACGGTGGTAATGAGTAAGTAAGCATTTTTGCTTCTTATGTCAACAAAAAATTGATGTCACCCTGCCCCAATGGAAGATAAAGAGTAGTGAAAGTAAGCAGAAGTAGAAGTAGCAGCACAGTAGTAAAAGCAGCAGTAGCAACGCTAGTAGTAGTAGTAGCAGCAGCAGCAACAACAGGATCAGCAACAGTAATGTCCGTTCCTTTAGAAATCTTAACCGTTCAGTGTAAGTTTTTGAAACTTGGCATTCAACCCGTTAATGATCATGCTTTAACCAGAATTAAAACAAACATCTTGTATTTATTTTGCCCTATTTTCAGTATTTAAAAAAAAACACCAGAAACTGATTCGAAGCACACAGTCTGCATGCTGGATGGGCTGAAACGATGACATGGAAGGATATCATCAAAGGAGCTGTTCCAGCAACCAGGGATCGTGATCTGTGGAGACGCATGAGTTCCTACGCCAGTTGACAGGGCACATGATGATGATGACAGCTAAATGAAACAGCAGCACTTTTGCAAGTGTAAAATATAAATAAAATAATAAAAAAATATATAAATAAAAAATCATAAGGACGTGAGAAATCTTGGGCCAAATGCAAAGCATTCGTGTTGATTCATACCGGAGTTTTTCAGATATTTGTTAAAGTGGGAGGGCACAATTTCTGAAACACACTGTCGTAAAGTAGCATCAGCTGCAGCAGTAATGGTAGTGATAGTAGTAGTATTAGTGGTAGTAATAGTAATATGGTATAGTAGCAGTCATAGTGTTAGTAGTAGTAGCCGCGGCAACAACAGCAGTAACTGACGGAACAACACTAGCAGTAACAAACGTGAAAGTAATAATCCAACCACTGCTACAATCGATCCTGGGTGACTGTCTCTGTAAGCAAGCACTTTGGCGACTCTACCACTGAGGCTCCAAAAGTTAAGTTAAAAGTTTACTGCATATCTTCTACACAACATCGCCTAGAAATTCAACATGTATTCGCTGCTGCATGGTTTAATTATGTCATTTTATATATAGTAGTTTGCTTTTGCTTTCTAAACATCATTGAAATCAACACAAAGCGATTTGCTGCCAAATCGCCTACAGCTGACTTCGAACGCGGTTTATAGGATTTGTGAAACTTCGTTCACAATCCCTAAGTCCTAAACGCTGGCTCAGAAACTAATTACTTTGGAAAATACACCAGAATAAATATTGGTTTTATGTTAAGTAGTAAAATCACGTGAATAACGGAAGGTGCAAATAAAAAGCACTTGATGCACGAATGGGATACCAAACATCAGTAAGTCAACATTACAAAGACTCGTATGGATTTACGTGTACTGTTCAATCAGTCAGTTCATTTTTTTTTTTAAATTACTTTTTTTTTTCCAGATACATTATTCCGATGCAAATTTTCATGTTGTTTATGCTGTTGTGGGTGCTCAACTTCATCGTCGCCTTGGGTCAGACGACATTGGCTGGTGCCTTCTCCTCCTACTACTGGGCTTGGGAGAAACCCAAGGACATCCCACTGTTTCCCGTGTTGGCCTCGCTTCATCGAGCTCTCAGGTAAGGATTGCAGGAATTCCATTTTTTACGACAGTAGAGCATCGGGAAAAAGATGTTAAACACATAGATTTTATAGACTAAGCGACAGTCGATGGCTGATGTAGTCAACATCGTGATTGCTGCTTTCAAAGGACTTTACCAGGTAGCCATCTTAGGCACAGTTCAGGTCTCCCGAGCCAGTTCCTCGAAAAATCTTTGCTCTGTCCGTTTTGTTTCGTCCGCCGTTTACATTGTGGTGCGTCAACTCTCCCAAGCATACCCGAGTCTTTACTCGTCGGTCACGATGTCCTTGTCGGAAACTCCCGTGGTCTGTTGAACGCGTAGTCGTTAAGCGGTCATCTAAGTGCTAGTCCGCCATTCACTTCCAACACCTACAATGGTCCCATAGCCACACAGGTCCTTGAAAATCATATTCATCATCATCATGTTCCCCATCATCATCTTCATCGTCATCATGTTTATTATCATCATCAAATTTCCACTTCTGTCCTTAAGCGCCTTGGGGTGGAACAGTTTGCAAACCATTGCTTGATTGGCAACAATAGCTATTGTCATTCCGTATCTATGGAGAAGCTCCTTAATGTCATCAGTAAATATTCTCTTAGTAGGGAGACCTGTTTATTTCACATGGGATCTTCTCACGTGTACCGCCTGCACTCGTAGTTGTTCTGGCTGCATTCTTACTAAATGACCAAACAATTTAAACCTGTTTCTTAGTGAATTTGCTGCATGGTGTTGTTCATTCAGTCTGTCTGTTATAATAATTTCTAGTTTTGTCTCGGATGGTTAAGTTGGTGGCTTTTCTCAGGCATCGAATTCCACGAGTGTTAGTTTTACGTAGGTTAGCCTTTGATAATGTCCAAGCCTGGCACTGGTAGCACAGTGCTGGTGTGAATTAGCTGTTTTTAATCTGTTTCTATGCGCTCATACTTATGTTTGGATGTCTTAATAACGGTGCCTATTGGTTTGTAAGTACACTGGCTAATTGGCATATTGTTTTCTGTTTGCCGATTTATTTAATGGCTATCATAATTTTTTTACACGAGTAGTCGTCACATGATAAGTTATATAGTTAGCACGCCTGCTACCTTTTCTTCCCATCACAAGGTGTGGCTGAGTAATGATAGTGACCGAGTTACTACTAGAATCTCTTTCCGAATCTCCAAACTCTGGAAACTTTCCTTTGCAATTCATTCAATTCAACAGGTATTATTACTCTGTGTAATAATGGAATTATGCTTATTACCGTCATGAATCAACATAGCCTTTGCAGAACGTCGCTCTCATCACGGCCCTCCTAAAAGCCTCTCTTTCTCTAGCCAGTTCCTCGGCACTTTGTGCCTTCCTAGCCAAATAATACATGGAGAAGGGAGCTGGAGAATGAAGTAAGAAAGATGGGGATGACATGGGGAGAGCTGCATGCGATAGCAAAGAAAAGAACGACTTGGCGTGAGTTGGTTGAGGCCCTATGCTCTATTGGGGGCTAGTAAGGCAGAAAGAAGAAAAAGCCAATGAATCTTTAGTGTCTCTACATTTAGGGAGGTTGGCTTCTGCCATGTTTTCAGGAGGCTGTACACTCCATCACTGTTCTGTCGAGGTTGCCATGACGTTCGACATGGCCATAATACCTTAGCTTTCGGGGCAGGATGATGTTAATGAGCCAATTCTACTCCAGTTCAGATCATGTAGGATGTCAGTATTTTCTCATCCTTCTTGGTCTACTGTATTCTCCGTTTTGTTTTTATGTAGCAATCAGTTGAAAGCTCCGTAAAAAAAAAAAAAAAAACGCTCTTCTTCAAAGAGTAAGAGTCCATTACACATCCATCTGTAACCACAGGAAGAATGCTTGCTCTCAAATCCTTTTTTTTTTTTTTTGGGTCCTCTGTCTTGTTTTGCTTTACTCATTTGCAGGTGCTGTGACTGTGCTTATACGCAATGGAAAATACTATAAGCAAAACAAATTGCTAACTAGACACAGAGTTAGATGCAGATCAAATACGCAATGAGACAAAAAGTTAGATTAGCACGCGATTAGAAAGTAAAGGACAAACTGCCTCGGTGTGGCTCAGTGTCAAAGTTTTCCGGGGGTGGGGGTGGGGGTGGGGGGGGGGGTGGGAGGGGGAATATACCGCTATCAAGCATGTCGTAAAGGCGATAATTAGAGGATGGCTTTTGAATTCGGAGTTTATCTACCTGGGAGGTAAGGAACCAACATTCTGCATACAATAAGCCAGAAATATAAAACGGATGTGCATGAAAAACTCGGCTTCTGGACTAGACCATGTCCAGATGTGAACGCTAAGGAGAAAAAAAGATTGTGATAAAACTGTGATAGACAATTATAAATTCAGATAACAGTTGTAAATATCAAACAGATATCACCTGGGGTCGCTGGCTTTCGGTTCTTTGATCATCGCAGTTGTCCAGCTTGTTCGTGTTGTCCTGGAGTACTTGGAGTACAAACTCAAGGATGCAGAAAACAAGGTGGCCAAGTTCTTAATTAGGTCAGATATTTTCAATTTTGTGCATTGTTTTTTTTAAATGTTTTATTTTTTTTTTATTTTGTTGTCATTTATTTTTTTTTAAAAATATAAATTATTACGAAAAACCCGATTTAAAGAATCTACTCATAAAACTAATCAACGAAATTCAAAACTTTCCTTTGTGAATTTATATAATAAGGAAATAAACACATTTTTCGATTTATTGATCAGACAACGAGTAAGTTGGTTTTGAAATTGGCGGAAGCAGTAGCGGTTGGGATTGGTAAACCAGCCAGATGTAAACAAAAGGATCACGCAGTTAATCTTGACTCGGTGAAATGATGTAGGGCGTAACAAGAAACAAAGTAATTTATCATGTGTTATTGGAACAGGTGAAGCTCAATAATCTTTCTAGTAGATTGTGATAACAGCACGGGTAAAAGGGATAATGAATATGTCTGGAAGGAAATTAACTCACGAGCTGAACTGGGTACTCGAATCTTCTTCTTCTGCCTTCTAATCCCCATCGAGCAGAGGTCCTCACAACACGCCTGTTTGTTCTATCCTTCGCTATTGCATGCAGCTCTCATCATGTCCTTTTAATTTTTTTAACTTCACTCTCTAGCTCCGTTCTGCATGTGTCATTTAGTTTTGCCTCTATTTCTATGCCTCGTGTGTTCCAGTGCAAAGACCTTCGAGTGATATTGTTCTCAGGTTTTCTCAACGTGTGTCCTATCCAACGCCAACGTCTTTTCTTCACCAAGACTCCACCTGAACGTGTTTAGTTCTCTCGCAAAACTCTACATTAGTAATTCTATCATACCATTTTATTCCCTCTATTCTGTGTAGGCACCAGTTAATGAATGTTTGTAGTTTATTGGTAATCGCCTTAGTTGTTCTCCATGTTTTCGCGACGGGCCCGCGTGCCCAATTTGTGACCCTTTGAAAATAAAGTTCGTTTGTTCATTCGTTCCGTACAACAGTATTGATTTTACATTCGAATTAAAAATAATTAAAAATAAAAAATAAAATATTAGATGTAATTTCTTTTGACCTCCATAAATTTCCTAATGATATGAAAAGAAACCATAAAATGTGTTGATATAACCGCATAAATCCACTTTAATACACCACCAAACACTGTTGTCTCAAACCAAACTGTGTATGCATTTAGTAATAAAACTAGTTTGTTCTCAAAAAGACGCTATCATTCATTCATCAACATTGTTGGGACTAAACATTGCACAGGCTGCCACAACAATTGAAATCTTAACTGCTGTACAAACCTTTTCTATTCACAGATGTCTCAAGTGTTGTTTCTGGTGTCTGGAGAAATTTCTCAAATTTCTCAACAAAAACGCTTATATCATGGTAAGTATCTTGTCCCAAGTGTCCAGGCTTGCTGTTTGAGATTTTTGCTCGTATAGCAAACAGTAAAGTAAAAGTAAAGATCCCTTTTCCCGCCTTAAGGCATATCGTGTATTTGGGAAGAGTGCCTATATTTTTCACAGACCATCGGCACTAGGTAGGTAATGTTGTCGGTATTACGCCTGGCCGTCTTTACTTCCCCAGTACATCTATCCTGGTACCCATTTTAGGCTGGGTCAACCTGCAACGCCCCATACCATGATAAAAATCCACGCAGCCAACAGTGGGTTTCGATCGCGTTACGTTGGAATTAGGAGTCGGACTCCCAACGCCTAAGCCACAGACGCCGCCTATAACAAACAGTAGATGATTTTGTTGCGGCCTCACGTGCTAGTTGAGTAAGTCGACACACAACTACGTGACGGACGAGTTAATCATCGTCACTGATTCAGGCTGATATACACATGTCGTGTGAATGGGTTATTTTGTCAAAATTAGCTAGTTGAATGATTACATACATAACCAATAGCTGGGGATGTGTTGTGTGTGTCCTCATATCTCGTACCTGAGTTACTCAAATAAGAGGAACACAGGGGAGCGTGCAAAGTAGGAGTCCATCGATCATCAGTAGAAAGATCCTTCGTCGACGATTGTTTCAACCCATTACTTCACTAGACTTGACACTCAATGTGTCAACATCCATCCCGAACCTGAGAAACAAAGATGCTGAGCCCGCTTTAGTGAAGAAAGCACGCACAATGGAACACCTCAACAACATGTTCCCACAGGACAGCTGGACCAGAATCTACACGGATGGATCAGCAAAAGAGGCAACTGCGAATGGTGGGGCAGGTGTTTACATAAAACACCCAGATGCCACTACTGTGTCCCTAGCAGCCCCCACCGGACGAACTTGCTCTAACTACAAGGCAGAACTCTCAGCCCTATTGATGGCAGCACAGTATATGAACAATCTGCAAATCACCGCAGGCAGGATAGTTTTTTCTCACTGACTCACTGTCAGCTATACAGGCCCTTGAGTCCAAACCTACCGACAGCACACTACAAAGTCTAACACATGAACTTGCTATGTTGTCAAATAAGGCAGAAATTCACTTGCAGTGGATTCCGTCACACTGTGGCATCAAAGGCAATGAAAGCGCAGATGCTTTAGCCAAGGAAGGCAGTAACAAACCACAGACCTACCAGCCACTATCTTTTCCAGAAGTCAAAACTCTCATTAAGAGAAAATCAGAAACAGATTGGAAAACCAACACTGGTTATAACTACGAAACAGATTTTCTGAAACACTTGAACAGAACAGACCAAGTCACAGTTTTTCGCTTACGCACTGGACACTGCAGACTCAATAAACACTCACATAAATTAGGTATGAGCCAAACATATCTCTGCCGGTGCCTTCGTGCTGAACAGACTCCAGAACATGTCCTGCAAGACTGTCCTCTCCAGGCGGAGCTGCGGAGTGACATATGGCAACACCCAGTAGAACTGACAACTAAGCTTTGGGGAAACCTAAGAGACCTTGAAAAGACATCCCAGTTTATGACCCACAGTGGATTATGCGCATGACCAGAGATCGCTGAAGAAGAAGAAGAACTTCACTAGACCATCTCTGAAGGTGAGCCCGACCTGGTTTATGACTCCAGGTCTCGATCTTCCCCTGCTTCACTGTATTGGACTCGACAGGGACAAGACGATTTGGTGACTTTGTAACAGGTTTTGTTAGATTTAGCTACAAATGAACACAAACAAACTGAGTTGAGTTGAACTAAGTCAAGAATTGACTTCACAGCACTCGGGGCATTCCCATGCGTGCTCCGTCCTCATCGTCAGCAGCCAGAGCAGAGTTCCAATACTGATGGTACCAGTCATAATCTGGTTATATGTTCGTCTTGCCTTTTTGAGCGTATTGAGCCGGCCAGACTCTCTGGTTACACCCAGGTGCCTCATTCTCTCCAGGACATAATAATCTTGTTTCTCTACTAATTCCTTTGCTTGTGCCCAAAGGGCCTTGACCACATCTGCATTGTCATGTATCAATTCACCACCCAGTGGTGCACATCCAGCCAATCTGTCTGCCTGTTCATTACCTACTACCCCGGCATAGCTAGAGAAAAGATTTAAAGTATGCCCACTAGCTGTGACCTTCCCAGTAAAGCTTGCAACTCTGCTCACAACAAACAAATTGATGATTTATAAGTGTCTATTAATACTAGCTGATTTATTACACACTTACACATTAGATGAATGGGTTTTATATTCAAGCATATTAGATGGGTCATCATACATTTAAACAACACGAATGAATGACTTATGTATCCCTGCATACTATTTGAGTTATTGCACACACACACAAACAAACAAATGGATGAGATATGTGTCCCACCTAGAAGCTCGAGTTATCAAACACCTTATGTGACACCGTGCAGTGCCACAAATACGAAAACGAATACACAAAATCACTTAACTGACGTATCTCCGAGAGAAATCACATATCTGTCTGGCATGTTGAATACCGAATGAGTTAACACGCTATACTTATTTTTTTTTCCCCCAGATTGCTATTCATGGCCGAAATTTCTGTCTCTCGGCAAAGGACGCCTTTATGCTTATCATGAGAAACATTGTGAGGTAAATGGATGAAGTCTGAATACTCCTGATTGTATTAAATGGTGACATTTGGATATTCTGATATTGCCACCATCATCATTGTGTCAACACTATTATCTGTTATCCTCATCATAGTCGTTAGCCAGGGGTGAACAAAATAATGAGCAAACTTCTTTTTCATAGGCTTAAGAATTGGGCACGCAGGCCCGTGTAACATTCTACTTTTAAAGGGTTTGAGAATGTAATATAGTACCTGACTGACTGACTTTCTACCCCACCAGGACATTACACAAGCGATAAACACCCGATGACACAATGTTCCACCATGAGGGTGAGGATCACAGTGAGAAGGGTCCCAGAAACCGCGTTCAGCCCTTAGGCCATATTTATGGCAAGGCTATATTGCGGCCCCTGGCAAAAGCCAGAGTAGGGCTTCAAACAACGAAAAATTTCATCCTAAAAAGGACGGAAAGTGTAAATACAAATAGTACATCGATCATGTAGTACTTTAAGTCCCTTGAGGTCCCCATCTTTCCACCTTGAATGTGTAAGTGTGTTAAACATTGAAATAGGACCCTTTTCCGCACCTTTAGAGGTATTGGGCATAACTCACTTAAGTGGGTCAAGCGGCCCCCTAGTCCTGTTTAGCCTGTATTTTATTCAAAGTAAGCTCTTTGTGCATTGATACAGCAAGTGGCCCGATCTAACAAACACTGGAACGACCTCTGTAGTTCTTCTGATGTTATGGCTCACAAAGTCAATGTTACGGCCCTTTTCAGTGGCAACTTTAATTTTGGGAATAGAAAATAGTCACAAGGAGACAAATCGTAAATCTCTCGTTCTCTAGCCACTTCTCCAACCCTGTGTGCTTTCATAGCCAACACATATTCAAAGACTTGTATCCACCTTTGAAAAGGTCAAGTTCTGTCTCGTTTCCCGGAAACTGTACCATAAATGACCGTTCTTTCCAGGCCACTATGGAGTTTACCATGGTCAGAATACCCCAGCTTTCAGGACAGGATGTTGTTTATGAGCCAATTCTCCTTGAAGCTCAGATCATGCAGGTTATTGTTGTTTTTCTTCTTCTTGGTCCTTGGTATTCTTATAATTTATCCGTATGGAACTATCTCTAGAAGTTCTCGTAAGTATTTGTTTTTACATTTCAACCTAAAATTAGCTGATTTTGACCATATCACCCAATCACCCATCCGTTTACAATATAGATATAGCACTGTATACACAGTGCGCATGTAGGCGTGGAAAAAAATGTCCTTTACGTTATCTACTATGTACACTTTACGTCTAAGGGTGTGGAAAAAGGGTCCTTTACGTTACCTACTATGTACACTTTACGTCTAAGAGTGTGGAAAAAGGGTCCTTTACGTTACCTACTATGTACACTTTACGTCTAAGGGTGTGGAAAAAGGGTCCTTTACGTTACCTACTATGTACACTTTACGTCTAAGGGTGTGGAAAAAGGGTCCTTTACGTTATCTACTATGTACACTTTACGTCTAAGGGTGTGGAAAAAGGGTCCTTTACGTTACCTACTATGTACACTTTACGTCTAAGGGTGTGGAAAAAGGGTCCTTTACGTTACCTACTATGTGCACTTTACGTCTAAGGGTGTGGAAAAAGGGTCCTTTACGTTACCTACTATGTACACTTTACGTCTAAGGGTGTGGAAAAAAGGTCCTTTACGTTACCTACTATGTACACTTTACGTCTAAGGGTGTGGAAAAAAGGTCCTTTACGTTACCTACTATGTGCACTTTACGTCTAAGGGTGTGGAAAAAAGGTCCTTTACGTTACCTACTATGTACACTTTACGTCTAAGGGTGTGGAAAAAGGGTTCTTTACCTAAACATTTCATACGATTTCAAATATAGTATTGTATATTTTATGTCACCTAATATATTATCGTAATTATTAATTATTATCATCGTTATTTCTATTTCTATTATGCACTTAAACAAAGCTGAGGTCAACTGGGCGAGCACTTACTGGAATAATTAGTAATTCACAAAGCCACGAAATAGAAATCAGCCATCCTCTGTATTGTTCTTGGGGCTCCATTCTAGGAGTACAAAACCCACTGTCCCCTAACAAGCATGTCGTAAGAGACGACTAGTTAGAGGTGTTGTCTTTAAAGTCAGAGTACACATAAGTCAGATCTGTAAAACTGCATGTGCATGCACAACTAAAGTTCTCGAACAATATTAAAGTCTAGAAACGGACGAACAACCAGAACATTTCGTCGGAGTTTACAGCCTGTGAGCTTGAAGAAATAATCGAGGTAAGCCGCTGCACAAAGTTAGGGATCAAAACGGCCACCCCCACCACAACCCCTTCCCACGCATAATACATTCATGATAACAAATACATGAAATATTTAACATGTCACCATCACGGAGGACTGCATATGGACATGTTCTCTATTCCGCCTTAGCGCAGTCGATAGGAGACTCGCTTTCGAACCCAGCTGCGACTCGCTGTAGCCCACGGCCGGTGTTCAAAACCAGACGGTTCCCGGTGTTCACCCAGCCTCCGGGTAATGGATACCAGAGTTATTACTCTGGCGTAAATAGAGGAACGTCGCTGTAGCTACGGAGTTGCGTGCGGACGGCGACACAGGCGGACAGTTTCTTATCAGCTGTCCGTACTGGTGGCAAAGCACTAATGGTTTATAACCGTGCGCAATGACGCTGGTTCACATCTCCCGACTTTACCTTTATCTCTATTCCACAGGGTCACTGTGCTGGACAAGCTGACCGACTTTCTGCTGTTTCTGAGCAAGGCCTTGGTGACTGGAGCTGTGTGTAAGTTGTCTTAGTTTGTAGGCCTGGGTGACTGGAGCTGTGTGTAAATTGTCTACGTTTGTAGGCCCTGGTGACTGGAGCTGTGTGTAAATTGACTAAGTTTGTAGGCCCTGGTGACTGGAGGTGTGTGTAAGTTGTCTAAGTTTGTAGGCCCTGGTGACTGGAGCTGTGTGTGAGTTGTCTTAGTTTATAGGCCCTGGTGACTGGAGCTGTGTGTAAGTTGTATAAGTCTGTAGGCCCTGGTGACTGGAGCTGTGTGTAAGTTGTATAAGTTTGTAGACCCTGGTGACTGGAGCTGTGTGTAAGTTGTATAAGTCTGTAGGCCCTGGTGACTGGAGCTGTGTGTAAGTTGTCTAAGTTTGTAGGCCCTGGTGACTGGAGCTGTGTGTAAGTTGTCTAAGTTTGTAGGCCCTGGTGACTGGAGCTGTGTGTAAGTTGTCTAAGTTTGTAGGCCCTGGTGACTGGAGCTGTGTGTAAGTTGTCTAAGTTTGTAGGCCCTGGTGACTGGAGCTGTGTGTAAGTTGTCTTAGTTTGTAGGCCTGGGTGACTGGAGCTGTGTGTAAGTTGTCTAAGTTTGTAGGCCCTGGTGACTGGAGCTGTGTGTAAGTTGTCTAAGTTTGTAGGCCCTGGTGACTGGAGCTGTGTGTAAGTTGTATAAGTTTGTAGGCCCTGGTGACTGGAGCTGTGTGTAAGTTGTCTAAGTTTGTAGGCCCTGGTGACTGGAGCTGTGTGTAAGTTGTATAAGTTTGTAGGCCCTGGTGACTGGAGCTGTGTGTAAGTTGTATAAGTCTGTAGGCCCTGGTGACTGGAGCTGTGTGTAAGTTGTCTAAGTTTGTAGGCCCTGGTGACTGGAGCTGTGTGTAAGTTGTCTGTTTGTAGGCCCTGGTGACTGGAGCTGTGTGTAAGTTGTCTAAGTTTGTAGGCCCTGGTGACTGGAGCTGTGTGTAAGTTGTCTAAGTTTGTAGGCCCTGGTGACTGGAGCTGTGTGTAAGTTGTCTAAGTTTGTAGGCCCTGGTGACTGGAGCTATGTGTAAGTTGTCTAAGTTTGTAGGCCCTGGTGACTGGAGCTGTGTGTAAGTTGTATAAGTCTGTAGGCCCTGGTGACTGGAGCTGTGTGTAAGTTGTCTAAGTTTGTAGGCCCTGGTGACTGGAGCTGTGTGTAAGTTGTCTAAGTCTGTAGGCCCTGGTGACTGGAGCTATGTGTAAGTTGTCTAAGTTTGTAGGCCCTGGTGACTGGAGCTGTGTATAAGTTGTATAAGTCTGTAGGCCCTGGTGACTGGAGCTGTGTGTAAGTTGTCTAAGTTTGTAGGCCCTGGTGACTGGAGCTGTGTGTAAGTTGTCTAAGTTTGTAGGCCCTGGTGACTGGAGCTATGTGTAAGTTGTCTAAGTTTGTAGGCCCTGGTGACTGGAGCTGTGTGGAAGTTGTATAAGTTTGTAGGCCCTGGTGACTGGAGCTGTGTGTAAGTTGTCTAAGTTTGTAGGCCCTGGTGACTGGAGCTGTGTGTAAAGTGTCTTAGTTTGGTATGAGATCCCATATAATTAGAATGAACAAGACAGTCGTTATTATCATTTTTTTTTTAAAAATTCTCATTATTTCCTATGCTGATGAAATATCATCATTAAATTTATCATGATTATTTCTGTCATCATCATCATCATCATCCTCGTCATCATTCTTCCTCTTTCTTTTTTCTTTTGTCAGTCTGTTTATGACGTAGTCGGAACGCATTGGTCCGTGACGCGAGAAACCAACACATAACTTTGCCTATGTGGCCAGGTACCACATAATTATAGACATATGCTGTAGACATGTGGACAGGCACAACATAATTATAGACATACAAGGTCCGACAATTAAGTAATGAGACTGATTTTATTATGGCCAAGACAAAAATGCCATCTATGAAGCAAAGCATAGAATCTAAAGACGCAACATTCATCTATAATCTGGCGAGTTTTAATAGCCGCTCGATAAGCAGACAACAAACAAACCGCCATTGACCTAGTCAAAGGTGCATTGTGACGTAAGCAGCATGGACAAAAATATAACATTAAATTCTTTTTAAAACTCAGAAAAAGTTGTAAGATCGTGCGACTTACTGTATCAATGCACACGGGGCTTACTTTGAATCAGATGCAGGTTATATCTTCAACTGTTGATTATTCTAATTTTTATGGAATTAGTCTCATCACCTAATTGTCGGACTTTGTATGTGTAGACATGTGGACAGGCACCACATAATTATGGACACATATGTAGACATGTGGAAAGGGACCATATAATTATGGACACATGATGTAGACTTGCTCTAAGCATGCAGTGAAGAGAAGCCAGGTCTGGTCTGTTAGCATTCCGGTGAAAATCAAGCTGCATGGGTCGGTGGGAGAGATACATCGCAGCACAATCTTCATGGAAGCCTGTGGGTTTTTCATCTGAAAACCACTGGTAGAAAGAATGACAAGAAGAAAAAGAAGACGAAGAAGAAGAAGGAGGAGGAGCAGAAAAAGAAGAAAAAGAAGGAGAACAAGAAGAAGAAGAAGAAGATGGAGGATGCGGAAGAGGATGAAGAGGGGTGGAGGAGGAGACACAGCCTAAGGTACCTTTATGGCCCAACCACACAAATTCTTATGGGATTATTTACAGTGGCGTTTACTAAAAAAAAAAAAAGTCCGACACTGAGTGCTGCAACCTATGTCACAGGCATTCTCTTTCTCGGAATAAAAATATAAATGCAAGACAACCCAGAAAGCCATCAACAGAGCGGCACGCCCGTAAACTACAGAAAAGTATACCACCTAACCCGAAATCCATTGCTGTAACAATCCTGTCGTATCTCCTATGTGATTCCTATGATATTCCAACGTTTTCTCTGTTTGACCCACAGTCACGCTGGCCTTCCTGTGGTTCAAAGGCAGCATTACCTACTTTGATGGCTACATTAAACGACCTGAGTTGAACTACTACCTCACACCAGTCATTGTAAGTTGTTGACAATTTTCAAACCCTGGTAAGACATTTGTTAGGCATGAGATCACAGTGCCACTACACAGTACACGCCGACGACTAGAACCTGGGGCGTAGGCACTAGGGACACCCTTAAAAATTTTGGTGGTCATTTGGGGGGGGGGGGGGGGGGGGGGGGGGGGGTTAACCCTAGCTTCCACAAATTTGTACAGGGGATAAACTGCCCCTATCTCACAAACGTGTTTGATTCCCTTTTCGGATATTTTGACACATTTCATATTATACATACACACACACACACACACACACACACATATATATATATATATATATATATATATATATATATATATATATATATATATATATATATATATATATATATATATATATATATATATATATATATATATATATATATATTCCTCTTCAGCATTCCGAGCCTTTGAGTCTCACTGCTGCAGAAATCACCCGCCTCCATTAATCTTTCTGGTTGGCCTTTTCTTTCCAGTTGGTGACACCAAGTGTTTGCAGGTTTGTCTGGACATTATCTCTCCATGGTTTTCTTGGTCTGCCTCGTGGTCTACGACTATTCATTTCCCTTGTGTTCACAGTTTTTACTTCTCTGACATCTGACATTATTTCATGTGTCCCAACCATTTTGGTTTCAGTCTATTAGCTCTCATGATGCCAGTGATCAATGGTGATTTAAACAGATTATGAATTTCGTTGTTGCTTCTCACTCTCCATTCGCCGCTGTTTGCATCTTTGATGGGTCCAAAGATTCGTCGTAAGACTGTTTTCGAAAACTTGAAATAAGGCTTCATGTCTTTTAGTTGTGCTCCAAGTTTTAGAGCCATATAGAAAGACTGGTCTTATCAACGTTTGATATATTTGGATCTTGGTGTTGCGAGACAGACACTGTGACTTTAGCAGACGTTAAAGGGCATAGTATACTTTATTTCCAGATTGTATTCTAGATCGTATTTCTTCTCTCAGCATGTTGGAGCAGTTAAAGTTTGCACCCAAGTACTTATATGTTTCTGTTCGTTTGATTTTTATATTATCGACTTGCATGTGGCCGGAGTTTATATTATTTCCCTGTCTTGTTATTATCATGTATTCTGCCTTATCTTGATTGATAACTAGTCCCATTTCTTAGCTGATTAATTTAAGAGAGTCAGTGTTCAAACAGTCTCTTGTTCATTTCCTCCAACAATATCAATGTCATCTGAATACCCAAGTAGTTTTGTAGGTTTTCCTATAGTACACTTTGTTTCAATTTCCGTTTAATTTTCTCCAGGGCTAGGTTGAAAATAAGTGGGGACAGAGCATCACCTTGCTTTAAACCAGATGTTATTTGAAAAGGATCTGACTTTCTGCCTTTATATATTAATATATTACAGGTGTCTTCCATACATAGTTTAGTCATGGTAATTACCTTTTTCGGTATTCCAAAGTCCTTCATAGCATTCCATAAACTGTTTCTATGCACACTATCATATGTCTTTTTAAAGTGCACACAAACATTATGTACATCTCTTCTGTATTCCCAATATAGCTCTGCTATTTGCCGTAAAATGAATATATTTGATCTACTGTTGATTTGTTCTGTTAAAACCCCGCTTGGTAATCTCCCATATGTCTTCGACGTATGGTTTTAGCCCGTTTAGCAGTAATGCCGATAGTATTTTATAACTTGTAGATAATAGTGATATTCCTCTATAATTTTCACACTTTCTTAAAATTGAGTATTGATAAAGACACTTTCCATTCATGGGGTAATTTCTCCGTTTTCCAAACTAGTTGTATTAATTGATATCTTTACATGTAATGCATAACCACCTTCTTTTTTTAAGTTCAGCTGCAAATCCATCAGCACCCGTTGCTTTATTGTTTTTAAGCCGTGTTATTATCTCTCTCTCTCTCTCTCTCTCTCGTCTCTCTTCTCTCTCTCTCTCTCTCTCGTCTTCTCTCTCTCTCTCTCTCTCTCTCTCTCTATATATATATATATATATATATATATATATATATATGTGTGTGTGTGTATATATGTATATATGTATATATATGTATAATATTATTTAGTACATTGCTATTATTATTATTATTGTTAATATTATTATTACTATTACTACATTGCAAGGGACTGAGAAAACAAGAGCTCGTGTTAAAAATGCGTGCTAAACGGGGACTAATAAAGACACATTGATACTAACATACCCCAGCTGGGGCCAACATTTCTGTTCATGTTAACCTACTGTTCGTCTTAAGTGGGTTTGTGTTAACTAGGTTTTTCTGTATTATGAATCCCTTAAACAGTGCTTCAGTACACAGAGCCATCACACACCGAGACATTTTGTAAACAGGTGGCTGGAAAAAAAGGGGGGGGTGGGGTGGGGGGGGGGGGTGGGGGTGGTAGTGGGGCTTGACTAGAAATCTCAGCGTGGTAAAAGAATCTTCGCCAAAAAAAAAAAAAAAAGCAACGGAATCTTTCTGCCAATCTTTGTCAGCGGATAAAACAAAACAAAAATCATCTACAGCCAAGGTCAACATGGAACCTGAACTACCCAGTAGGATCTTGATTCTTTATAAGTTCCTTTATAAAGATATGCAAAGATATTCAACCAAACGAAAAGTATAACCAGTCAGCTATATGTTGTCACAAACACAGACAACAAGTGGATGTTGCGGCTAGAGAGCCTTCATCAGCATATTAGATAAACATACAATACACCAAGAATGAAGAAGAATTTACAAAAAAAAAAAAAAAACTATATTGCCAACAGAAATCACATATATGTCTATACAGTCGAATCTCTGACACGTAATGTTCAGTCGTATTTATCAGATGTATTTCATTTCCTCGGCATTCTAGTCACAGTCTATACTTAATTATGAGTTGGATTATCTTCACACCACCTCGAACACGTTAATAGGTGTTCAGACTCTCCCTTCAACATCTTCATCAGCGTCTCGCGGTTAATAGTACCAGTCCTATGCTGGTTGACAAGACGTCCTGTGCGTTCGGTGTGCTTCTCATACTTGGCTATGCCGATGTTTACTCCCAATTTTCGTATTCTTAACGTTGATGTGGATACGTTGTTTCCCAAATCATAGGAGCGTCCTATCTCTCTCAGGGCATTGACAATGTCTGCGTGATCTACTCGGCGTTAGAACTGAAAAAACAAAAGTAGAGGTCCTTTTTTACGCTTATAGGCGTATAAGGCATATATGGCTAGAAAAGCATTGAACTGAACTCACCACTTTACATTGGATTTATAGACTATGAAAAAGCATTTGACAGCATTGATAGGGAATCTCTCTGGAAATTGATGGGGCACTATGGAATCCCACAGAAAATTATCAACTTAGTAAAGGCATCATATAAAGACATGAAATGTCGAGTTCTTCATGAGGGAAAGCTAACAGATGCATTTGAAATAAAAACAGGTGTGCGACAGGGATGTCTTTTGTCGCCTCTCTTATTTTTACTGGCTATAGACTGGACTATGAAAAACAGTAAACTGCTAACACCAAGAATGGAATTCAGTGGACCCCTACAAAACAGCTTGATGATCTGGACTTCGCTGATGATATTGCTCTTCTGTCCCATTCACGGAATCAGATACAAGATAAATTAAATATACTTAAAGCGAGATCACAGCAGCTTGGTCTGAAAATCCATAAAGGAAAGACAAAGATAATGAGAATAAATCAGGCAAATAGTAATGTGGTTTCTCTTAATGGCACCCCACTCCAAGACGTGGAGTCGTACACCTATTTAGGCAGTAATGTAGATAAAGATGGAGGAACTGATAGAGATATTAAAATAAGAATACAAAAGGCAAAAAGGGCTTTCATAGCACTAGAGAATTTGTGCAGTTCAAAAGAAATTAAAAGAAATACTAAACAACTAAAAATTTTTAATTCTAATGTCAAATCAGTACTATTGTATGGGGCGGAAACATGGAGAACAACCAAGGCAATTACTAATAAATTACAGACATTCATTAACTGGTGCCTGCGCAGAATAGAGGGAATAAAATGGTATGATAGAATAACTAATGTAGAGCTTTGGGAGAGAACTAAACAGGCTCCAGTGGATCAGGAGGTGAGGAAAAGACGCTGGCGTTGGATGTGACACACACTGAGAAAACAGGAGAACTGTAATAAGTGGGTTTGTATTTCTACTCGTTGTCTAGGCGGTGTTCATGCGTGTGTGGTGGATGATATTCTCACACGCTTTACGTTACACAACTGGCACAAGCCGACACCGATGTGAGCTTACGAGACATGACTTTATTGACGTATTAAAACTTACGACAAACAGAATAGTCCAGTCGATGTCTAATTGAACCGCTTTCGTACACAAACTCACGCAGCCTTTAACGAACAGTCTTCTGCAGGCATTCAAGCAACGATGGGTCCCATGAATTCAACACTGACGTTTGGACATCTCACACGCTGGCATGGTCGATCTCAGCTTAACACTTCGTCGGCAGGTCTCCTTTCTCCTCAGGCATTCACGTAGACATTCGCACATTCAGTCGCTCGTCCTCTCGCTCCAACAGGTCGACACAAACTAAACTTGACCAGAGTCAAGTCTGACTTATACCACGGGTTCCTTTCACGTGACAACACGTGGTGGTCCTTTACTTTTCACGTGGCGACCTTGGGTCGCATCACCGTGGTCCCCGTGATAACTAGTGGTTAGTCACCTATCTCCAGATTCTCGTTTAATCCAAGTATCTGGACTATCTCGGTGTTTTCGGTCAGCCTTGGGCCTTCCCCCCAACCATCCTAAACTGGGTCCAAAATATCCCCCATTACAAGAACAGCATAACTAGAATGTCTTTGCATTGGAACCCACAGGGGCATAGGAATAAAGGAAGGCCAAAAAACACATGGAGAAGAGAGCTGAAGAATGAGGTTAGAAAGATTGGGAGGACATGGGGAGAGCTCCATGCAATGGCGAAGTATAGAACGACTTAGCGTGAGTTGCTTGAGGGCCTATGCTCCATTGGGGGATAGAAAGGCAGAAGAAGAAGAAGAAGATATGCTTATAGACCTAACGACACAAGATGGGTGATATGGTCAGCATCAAATCCGGCAACCTTTACTTCCCACGAATGCCCCCAGTACCCACTCAAGGCTGGATCGGCCTGAAAGTCAAGGTCATTTTAAATAAAAGTTCGGCTCCGCCGGGGAGCGAACCCACGACATTCCGATCCGCACGAGCGTCTAGCCGCCAGGACACGGCGACTCCCAGCGTTAGAACTGATCCACTTTTAACTACAAAAGGTGCTTGAGTGGCGTTCTCTGCAGTGCAGTGTGGGTCATGGTGGGTCATTATCTTTCGTCATGGACATAAGATTCGCCTAGGATACGGCCCGTGCGCGTAATGATTCCTCCACTGAGCTTAGATATGTCATCATAAACTCTTGCCCATAGAAGAAATTAACTACGACTGGTTTGAAATGAAAACTCAGAAGTAACAAATACTGTCGTCTTGTAGCCTGTTAATGTTGTTGTTGTTAAGGATATCAGGAAATTTAAGCACATGCCATCACAACAGACACAGTGACGTCATAATGAAAGTTTAAAGATGGCCGGCCTGCTGTTAATATGCAACAAAGAGGAGCAGCGTTCTGGTATTCGTTTTTTTTCCCCCTTTTCATCAATGAAAGGGGGAAATTTAAAGCAATATATCGGCGATTAAAGGTCCTGTTTGCCATGATTTAAGTCTTTCAGTCCAGCTATTGTACAGGTGCAGCTCGTCATCTCGTTTTTAGGACAGCTTTTTAACCTTTGGTCCAAAACGGACACTCAGCTCTCACCTGTGGCTCCACCTAGCTGTCAGCATGCGACAGCGCTCCCACCCCCCGGGCAACGGCTTTGACAGGCCGGCAAAACCAGGTCAGGGTAGCCCACTTTTTTTTAACCATCGGTGAGTTAGGATCTGCCCATTCAAGCATGCACAGACTACTGTCGGCAGAATTGCGCGGAGGAAACCATATTTGGTTCAACGGGCAAGACGGCGACACTAGCAAAGCGCTGTGGAGCGCAAAGAGCACGGCGAGGCACGTAGAACGCCCTGGTCATCCACTGCACCTAGACATATCTCCATTCGTCCTGACTCTGTCTGGCCACTGGACCCAGATATGATTTAGGTGAGAGAGTGAGGTCGACGACAGTGCGCAACTCTTCCTCACTCATCCAGGTCACCGCGCAAGTCACTCTTTCAATCACCATCGGCCTCATCAGTCATCTTTCGTACTCATTCTTGATGAAAATGGGTGGTCATCATCTTGATGGACAGCACACATACGCAAGTGGAGTAGAAACTTCAAAACGACCTGACCATGTTAGATTGGCTGATAAGTAAATGGATGTATACTTAGACACACTCCCTCCCCTCTGTCATTTATTTATTTAACTCCCTTCCTTCTGTCATTTATTGATGTAAGTATATATATTATATATATATATATATATATTATATATATATATATATATATATATATATATTTATATATATATATAAATCTATTTGCTCCTGACACTGTGTACGTATCTGATGACCTGTGCCTTCTTCAGTGTTTACAGCATGGCGGTGGATACTCTCTTTCTGTGCTTTTGTGAGTTTTACTTGTTGTTCTTCGTCTTCTCTTCTTCTTGACTTTCCCTTTTACCTCTTCGGACCTCGAGGGGGATATCAGGTTCTGCTTGTTGTTCTACTGGTCGTCGCGACTGTAGACACATTGTGCTATTGTAGAGCTTTTCTGACATTATCTTTCCAAATGTTCTTGGTCTGCCTCTTGTTTTACATCCTCCGTCTCTTTTCGTGTATGCTTTATATTTGATTGGTTCACAAACACGATACTTGCTTTTGAAAATGTATCTCTTATGACAATATCTTATAGCTCAATTCACGCACTGATCAACGTATGTTTCTTTTGGTTACAATACAGTTGAGTTAAAAAGCTGTACATATAAATTACCCGCAATCCTAGCAATAGCATACATGCCGTAATGATGATACACAGACAGACAGATAGACAGACAGACAGACAGACAGACAGACAGACAGACAGACAGACAGACAGACAGACAGACAGACAGACAGACAGACAGACAGACAGACAGCAGGCAGGCAGGCAGGCAGGCAGGCAGGCAGGCAGGCAGACAGACAGACAGACAGACAGACAGACAGACAGACAGACAGACAGACAGACAGACAGACAGACAGACAGACAGACAGACAGACAGACAGACAGACAGACAGGCAGGCAGGCAGACAGGCAGACAGACAGACAGACAGACAGCAGACAGATAGATAGATAGATAGATAGATAGATAGATAGATAGATAGATAGATAGATAGATAGATAGATAGATAGATAGATAGATAGATAGAGATAGATAGATAGATAGATATAGATAGATAGATAGATAGATAGATAGATAGATAGATAGATATATAGATAGATAGATATATAATAGATAGATAGATAGATAGATAGATAGATAGATAGATAGATAGATAGATAGATAGATAGAGATAGATAGATAGAGAAGGAGAGAGACAGACAGACAGACAGACAGACAGACAGATAGACAGACAGACATGCTTGTTTTTCAACAGTATGAGTATTCAAACGCCTAAAGAAAAAGACAAACTACTGATTTTAAAAAAAGCATATTTAAACACCACAATAACCAATAAACGCGACATATATATTTCTGAAGAAGACCAGCACATAACATTGTTCTTTTATCGCTCTGTTCTTGTTTTCTTCTTTCAGTGGAGGACCTGGAAATGAATGACGGGTCGGCGGAGAGACCGTACTACATGAGCAAAGGTCTCATGAAAGTTCTGGGAAAGAAAAACGTTCACATGCGAGATCCAGAACAACACTCCAGCCGGGAAATGACCTCAAAGGTCTCGCCGGAAGAGACCTCAGGTCGACCACTTCCAGTGCCAAATGTTTTGAAACTTCGCAACGAAGAGTCCATGAAAACTGTGATGTAGAATCTGACTGGCTGGGGCTAAGATATCGGTACTTTAATTTTATACTACCACATCCCGTCGACTTCGAGATTTGGTAAGAAAAAAGGGGAGGGGGGTCAGGGTTAGACTTTGTAGTGGTCGCTATTCATTTAGCACTAACCCTAACCCCCGACACCCCCCCCCCCCCTTTCACATCCCCATAATTGTAATACTGTCCATGAAAACCCAAGGGATCTCTAGGAATTCCCTACGAAATCTCGAAGCCGACGAGAGGTTGTCGTATAAAATTAAAATAACAAGGTATTTACCCAGAGCATTAATTCCTTCGGAACCTACTATTTAAGATCCCTATATTTCGGAAGTCCTTTCGAACAGCGTAAAAGGAATAGAAAATGTAATATTGTCCGTCCAAAAGCACAGTGAAGATCAAAATCTGTTCTTGAATTTAAAGAAAACGAAAATAATGTCCACAGATAAAACTGGCTGTCATCCAAAAATTACAATAAACGATGAAGCAATTGAAAATTCACAAACTTTGAACATCTAGGCTCAGTAAAAAACAACAATGGAGACTGTTCGACAGAAATTAAAAGGAGGATGGTCATAGCAATGCAAAGATTGAACAGCCTTTAAAGTCTATGGTTAAGCACCAGCAAGGAGATAAAAATTAGAATTTTGAGAGCATCATCTTCCCTGTGGCTACATATGGATGTGAGTCGTGGACTATCTCTCAGTCCTTAAGGAAGAAAATATGGGCTTTTGAGCTGAAATGCTATAGAAAGATTGTCAGAATATCTTGGACAAAGAAGACGAGAAATATTGACATCTTAAAAGATCTGAACATCTAGGAAGATTGGCCAATAAACAGCATCCTTTCTTGAAAGCTGAAATATTTTGGTCATATCAAGCGCCACAAAGGATTGGAAAAAATTATAGCAGAAAGCATGGTACCAGGAAGGAGGGGCAGAGGCCGACCGACACGAAGATGGGCACAGAATATAAGTGACTCCTTGAGTGTGAAAGTTCATGAGGCGGGAGAATTGGCGAGAGACCGAGTTTCTTTCAGGCAGACCGTGATGAGAGCGACGTTCTGCAAAGGACCTGCTACATGATGATATTTCGGAAAGTTCTTATTTAAAGTATCTAATGTCTGAGTGCAAGTAAGTTAAAATAATAACATTATAGCCAAAAAGAGCTCAACTAAAAATTCGGATACAAGTGGGTGTCAAATGAAAACCTTAAAAAAGTGACAGAATTTACAGTGACTGTGCTGTTGTTTTGTAACCTGTCAGTATTGTTGCAGACCGCTCATGGCCGAGTCGAGCACAGCAGGAAGTGTCTATAGCAGACGTCACGACGTTTTTACACATCTTACTCCACTTCTACACTTGCAGGAGTGCCAAGCCTGTCTCACTTTACTGGGCCATCATTCGCCAAAGAATTTCTATAGATTTCATCCCTTCACTGCTAAAAACACAATAATTTTCTAACAGTACGCTGCTGCTCTTTGATGCATGTCAAAGGTGGGGCGGCCATCTTCAGACTGTCACTATGACGTCGCTGTGTTGGTTTGTACCATAATGTCACGTTATAAACTCACTTGACCTCCTTTTTTTGGAAGCCTGTTTGTAAAATGAGTTATTCTAACTTCTTGCACAGTTTTTTTTTTCTAACTGCAGTAGAAGAAATATCGGAAATTTCCGCTGTCTTTATATTACCTAATGAACTTACTACGAATTGGCATTGAAAAAGTTAATGAAGAAACCGAGCAGCTGGTGCTAAAATAGTTGCTTAAAGCATTAAGATAAAGTCTGCTTGGCTGTTGCTAAAACATTTTCTTAAAGCATTAAGATAGAATCTGATTGCTAAAATACAATATTTTAAAATCATTCATATATATATATTCTGGTAGTCTGGTAGCCTTAGTTTCAGCTTCATAGCAAACGGGTCGCCCCATCTTTGCTCAGCTCTTGTGCCAACGAAAAACACACAGAATGTTTATATATATCATATCATTGACTATTGATAAAATATTTAACTCGAAGCATATAGATAGAATCGTGATTGGCTATGGCTGAAATAAAATATTTACTGAAAGCATTCAGACAGAATCTTATTGGCTATTGCTAAAAAATTTACTCAAAGCATTCAGACAGAATCCCATTGGCTATTGCTAAAATATATACTTCAAGCATTTAGATAAAGTCTGCTTGGCTGTTGCTAAAATATTTTCTTAAAGCATTAGGATAGAATCTGATTGGCTATTGCTAAAATAAATATTTATTTGAAGCATTCAGATGTAATTTTATTGACTCTTGCAAATATATGTACTCACAGCATTCAGATAAAGTTTGCTTGGTTGTTGCTAAAATATTTATTTAAAGCATTAGCTGATTGGCTGTAGTTAAATTCATTGGCTATTGCTAAATTTTTTACTCAAAGCATTCAGATTGAATTCCATTGACTATTGCCAGATCATGTACTCAGTGTATTAATACTTGTGTTCATAGTCAAATTACCTTAACTGACTGACTGACTGACTAATGTCCTATTTGAGCTATTTCTTAAAAGGTGTCTGACACAACGTATGAATCGAAGAGCCATATCCTGGATGCCAGTGCAGCCAGGCAAACCCCAGATACTCATTTAATCCCACATAATCTATAATTAGTGCACTTGCAATGGCTGCTCCAAGTACCATGTTCTACCTGTTGTTTAAGACGTGTAGAGATAATTATACATATTGCATTAATGTATGTACTAATATTGATACAGTTGCTCAGGACAGGATGGAATGGAAGAATGAATGAACTTTTTTTTCCCAAATTTATAACACATACACTACGGATATTCAATAATGAGCAAAATCAAAAATAGATTTTTCATGGCATCTGGCCGTCAAAGATGCAGGGAGCTGATCGGGCAATCAACAGCAACTGGTCACCTAACCACGCCCCGTGTTACTGGATGATGATATTTTCTTTGAGTTTTGTTGGCGACCTTGTGTATTCTTACTACCAGTGTCAAACATGGACCTTTATTTCAATAAATGAGCGCAAAATCACAGCAGGGATGTCTTAGAAGAATTGCTGGAGATAAAAGCAGAGTTACTATTAACATGTAAGAAGTTAGAAAACAAAGACTAGGATGGAAATCAGTCATACAATTCATTAAAGAGCAACAGATGGAATGGGTTGGTCATTTGACGAGAATGTGGTGGCATCAACTGCCACAGAGAAGAACTATAATGAACACAAAACAAGGGGAAGGCCAAGCACCGTATGGCAGATCAATGAATATAAAAGCATTAGAAAACAGCACACAGAAGTTCCTCACATCTCCTCCAACATTTCAAAGAAGTAAAGGTGGGAAGATAAAAAGAAATAATTATATTGTGTGTGAAGGTTCTGGATGCATGCAGCAAGGTCAGAAATAATGAGTGTACAAGGGTATTTGACTCGTTCTGACATAGCTGTTCAATTCTACTTGTTCACACTCCATCACCGACTCCCTGAGCTTAACGGTGACTGACTATTGTAACTGCTGCCGTATGATCAACATCATGGCACACGGGTAGTAACATATGAAGTGCCCCGTTCTTCTTCTAACTCAGGTCTGAGTCCGAAAAACTTTGCACAGTGCATTGACTGGTTCAGTGTTGAAACACCCTTAGCACAGTGCATTGACTGGTTCAGTGTTGAAACACCCTTAGCACAGTGCATTGACTGGTTCAGTGTTGAAACACCCTTAGCACAGTGCATTGACTGGTTCAGTGTTGAAAACACCCTTAGCACAGTGCATTGACTGGTTCAGTGTTGAAAACACCCTTAGCACAGTTGCATTGACTGGTTCAGTGTTGAAACACCCTTAGCACAGTGCATTGACTGGTTCAGTGTTGAAACACCCTTAGCACAGTGCATTGACTGGTTCAGTGTTGAAACACCCTTAGCACAGTGCATTGACTGGTTCAGTGTTGAAACACCCTTAGCACAGTGCATTGACTGGTTCAGTGTTTTAAACCCCTTAGCACAGTGCATTGACTGGTTCAGTGTTTAAACACCCTTAGCACAGTGCATTGACTGGTTCAGTGTTTAAACACCCTTAGCACAGTGCATTGACTGGTTCAGTGTTTAAACACCCTTAGCACAGTGCATTGACTGGTTCAGTGTTGAAACACCCTTAGCACATTAACGATACAATTCACCAGCAAATAAAAACGAGAAGAAACGGTCGCTCAGATGTTTTCAAAGTTCGCATAACCATTCAGTTTATTATCCTACCATTGCTTCAATAAAATAATAAAACAACTGATATCTGATTATAATAATTAACGTTAATTAAGAGGTAGATTTGGAGTCGCTGTGTCATAGCGGCTAGACAGACGATCGCCTGCGAATCGGAAGGTCGTGTGTTCGCTCCCTGACGGAAATGACCTTGGCTCCCAGGTCGATCCAGGCTTGAGTGGGTACCAGGTGCAGTCCTGGGAAGTAAAAGCGGCCGGCGTAATGCTGACCACATCACCAAAGATGTGCGGATTGGTCTATAAAAAATATAGGTCTAGCCCTATATGCCCAATACGCCTAAAGGCGTGGAAAAGGGTCCTTTACTTTAAAAAAAGAGGAAGATGAAGATTATACCGCTACATTATATCTTGCTTGGTTGAAAAATTCACGCTTATCTAAAATGTTTCTTCTCTCTGTCTGGGCTCATTAGCATATTGTGTGTATCTCGTGCTGTTATGGGATATGTGCACACTTCCTGTTCCTGTCGTGCCTTTTTATGTATCATTGTTTGTACTCGTGGTAGTACTGATTTATGTAATATGCCGATGAAGGCGGTTTACCCGCAACGTTCACTTGATGTTCATGTTTGTGTTATCGTGAAATTGACTGGTTTTTCAAAACACGGTATTATTTAGAATATTTATATGGGGTTTCCATGCACGATTTCTGTTTAACCTCTGTTTTATACAATGCAGACCGCTAAATTAGATCTCGGATATGGCGAATTTCTGTTGTAAA